TTTTTAATATATTTGAATTTAGTATAATTTAATATATAAATGTTTTAATTTAGCATAAATTTAATATATATATATATATATATATATATATATATATATATATATATATATATATATATATATATATATATATATATATATATATATATATATATATATATATATATATATATATATATATATATATATATATATATATATATATATATATATATATATATATATATATATATATATATATATATATATATATATATATATGTAATTTTTTTTTTAATTTTATTATTTAATGTATGTGTAGGATGATTATCAAACATTGCTAGCATGTTTTCTGGAACACAATCCTCAATATAGGCCAGCAGAAGGGGAGCCGCTTAATGGTGATGTTGATTTCTATATTTGGAATGAGGTTGTTAATGGAAAAGGGTCTAATGGTTGCTTTTTTGCGGGAGGAAATTTGGCCGTCGGCTTGAGAGTTGGTGATCGTAATCTGTTTCAACGACTTAGAGATGGAGAGGGAGGGTCACGTCAACCGAATCTGACACAGGTTCAACTTGAAACAGTAAGACAATTGGCGGCAAGTGAAGTGAGACGCGAAATGGAGGCCCAAATGACGACAATGAGGCAAGAGCAGGAGCAGCAGTTAGAGATCATGCGGAAGAGGCAATCTGATATGGAGGAGCAGATGAGACGGTTTATGCAAGGTGGTGGAAATCAAAATGTTCCTGATCATACACAGCCGGATGATGACTGAATTGATGATTTTGATCTTGATAATTATCCGGGTGAAGATGCCCCGTGAAAACATTTTATTTATTTCGTTTTTATATTTGCATTTATGTAAGATATTTATTTTTATCATTTTAAATTATTAAATTATATAACATTTTATTATATGACTTTATTTTATAAAATTCTATTATTCGAATATATAATAAAATACTATTATTCTAATAATTTTAATATATAAATTTTATTATATAAATTTTATTATTTAAATTTTATTATATAAATTTTATTATATAAATTTTATTATTTAAATTTTATTATATAAATTTTATTATTTAAATTTTATTACATAAATTAATTAATATAAAAAATAATTACTAAACAATTTAAAAAAAAATAAAAACGTCACCTGTAGCGACGTGAGAATCATGTCACAAATTAGTGAAATGATTCTCACGTCGCAACTAAAGCTGCTATGTCAGATTTTATATTCCCTAAAAGAAAGTTGTTGCGACGTGAATACCACGTCACAACTTTGTGACATGGGAATCACGTCGCTACTGGCTTGCCACTGGCTCCCCAGCGACATAAGTCTCCACGTCGCTATTTTTATTTTGCCACGTGATTTTGATGTTTGCCACGTGATTTTCACGTGGCAAATAAGCTTCTATTTTTTTTACCAATTGTGAAATCTCATTTATTTAAAATAAGAAAGCACTTGAAAGCATATGAAAGTCCAACATATATTTGTTATTTAAAAAATACAAATAATTTAAAGTAAACTATTATAAACTTTTAAATAAGAAAAATAAATTATATATATATATATATATATATATATATATATATATATATATATATATATATATATATATATATATATATATATATATATATATATATATATATATATATAACCCAAAATATCAGTGTAATTAAACCAAATAAATTTATAAAAAATCAATTTTAAAAATTATTTGATTGTTAGAAATATGGCGGACAAATTTAGGGTATGACACTTTCTTTCATAGTATTGTATGTAATGTCTCACTTCCTCTTGTTCATAATAACCATCATATGCTCACTAGAGCTAAAATTGGAAAGTTAAAACCTAAAGTATTCCTTGTTCACACTAACCACTCTTCCCCCTCATAGAAAGACCATAAGTTGCAGGTGGATTTTCAAAGTAAAAGAGAATTCGGATGGAAGTATCAACAAGTACACACAATTAGTGGCTAAGGACTTTCATCAACAACATGACTTTGATTTCCATAAAACTTTTTTCCGAGTTGTTAAGCCTACAACCATATGGGTTATTCTTACTTTGGCCATCACATACAAGTGGGAGGTACAATAAATTGATATAAATAGCGTTTCTCAATAGTGAATTTCATGAAGAGGTGTATATGCATCAACTACCAGACTTCATTAACTCCAATCCACTATTGGTATGCAACTCAATAAAGTCATTTATGTCCCGAAGCAAGCGCCTTGAGCCAGGTATTGAGAGTTACATTATGCTCTCATTCAATTTCGTTTTGTGTCAAGTCGATGTGATTACTCGCTATTTGTGTATAATCATCACAACATTATATTTTATGCATTAGTCAATGTCAATGATATTCTTCTTATGAAATCCTCTTCCAATTTAACTCGACTTGATCACTAAGTTTCACGACAAGTTTGCACTAAAACATTTTTGTAAACCTCAATACTTCTTTGGTATTGAAGTGCATCATCAACTTAATGGATAAATGTTGTTGACACAAACTATTTATGACCTGCTATCCAAAGTCAATATGAATTATGCTAAAGGAGTTCCTAAATCTATGGTTAGCACTTGTAAACTAAGCAAGTATGACATATATGTGTTAACGGATCCTCTTCTGTGAGCATTGCAATATCTCACTTTGATTCAACCATACATTGTATTTTTTGTCAATAAAGCACGTCACTTCATGGCCAACCCTCTAGGAATTCATTGGTGTATAGTTTAGCGTATCCTACGATACTTAAGTGGCACGACAACTCATGGTTTAATGTTTTCTTCAGCCAATGCAACTCACAAATAATCTCTCTCAGTGGATACAATGATTCTAATTGTGTCAGTGATCCAGATGATCGTCGTTCTACCTCAGGATCATGCGTATGCTTTAGTCCTAACCTTGTGTCATGGAGCTTGAAGAAACAACCTTTGGTAGCCCGCTCAAGCACCAAAGCAGAGTATCGGGATTGACTCATAAGACCTCAGAATTTTTGTGGCTAATATCTCTTCTTGTGGAGCTGCACATTCCTTACTTAGTTCTTACACTACTTTGTGATAATCTCAGTGCTGTCATGTTGTCTCATAGCCCTATACTTCATGCTAGAACAAAAAATATAGAGTCTAACATTTGTTTCGTCAGGGAAAAGGTGGTGGTTCAACAACTCCTCATTGAACATGTCTCAGCTCATGCTCAAATAGCTAATGTGCTAACAAAACCTTTATCGATTGCTTTGTTTTTGGATTTTTTACTCAAACTCAAGATTTTCTATTCAAAACTTATGTCCAAATAGCTGATGCGCTAACAAAACCTTTATTGACTGCTTTATTTTTAAATTTTTGACTAAACTCAAGGTACACTCTTTGACTCTACCATAAGTCTGTGGGAGAGTATTTGTAATGTATATGAGATGAAGTTGTTAAGAGATAGTTATCTATGTTATAAAGGTTGTTAGCATGAGTGTGAAGTTAGTTAAGGATGAATAACTCACTTCTTCATAGATGTGTTAGCATATAAGTATCAATTATCATGTGTATAGATTAATAATTCTGATCATAATAAAAAAGCTACCATTGCACCATCTTCTAATCTCTCCAATATCTCATCATGAAATGGATACTTGTTTCACTTTCTAACAAGATACATTGTTAAAGAAACTGAAGTGTGAAGTGAACAAAGCCATTGAAGTTGATGATTGACAATAGACCAACTATTAATCTTGGAATTTAGTCTCACATGAAGAAGCAATCAATTTGAAACCATATGGAATTTAGTCTCACATGAAGAAGCAATCAATTTGAAACCATATGGAATTTAGTCTCACATGAAGAAGCAATCAATTTGAAACCATATTTTATTTCATTATGTGCCAAGTGCTTAATGAATGAATTGATGTGGTGTATTTCTGTTGTGCAACTAGCTGATGGAATAATCCTTATAATATTCAATGTATTGGCTTTCTTTTATATTAACGTTCCTTTTTCATCCCATATAAACCTTTATTCAATTGACACGCTAATAAGTAGATATATAAATAAAGAAAAATGCTACTCTTATATTAATGTACAAATTGTATTTCACTGTTCACAAATACAATAAATCTAAAAATATTATAATAATAAAATAATATATATTTTTTAAATATATAAAATATTTTTTATTTTTTAAAATTGTGTAATTAATTAATTTCATTATTTCATTAATCAATTTTTTACATTTTATTAACCAATTTTATTTTATTATTAAAAATTATTTTTACTATCTTAATGTTTATTAACCAATTTCATAATTTTATTAACCAATTTTTTACATTTCATTAATCAACTTTATTTTACTATTAAAAATTATTTTTAATATCTGAATATTTATTAACCAACTTCATCATTTCATTAATCAATTTTTTACATTTCATTAACTAATTTTATTTTATCACTTAAAATTACTTTTCACAATATTATTTATGAAGATTGTTCACAAAATTACTGTTCACGCACTCTTTACGCTAGTGTTTATAAATATATATTTTTATTTAAAAAAATACAGTTTACTGTATAAATACGGTAAACATATTTGAGTATAAGTATTGGTGTACAAATGTAGAAATAGATTCTGATAAATAAATTAGACACTAACTACGTACATAAGTTTTTTCAATACTTCACATAATTCAGTACATAATTTATTGCTATTACAATTACAATGGAATATAACTTTAACCTAATGAAACAATCGCTAACAATTCTATTTTTTATTTATCTAACCTGATATTGCATTAACCAAATTTGGATTTCCCTTTTGACCCCTTATGCACATGCATGCATGTATGTGTATGTTACATCATATTATTGTTACCCATCTGGATATAAGAATAGTCACGGATCAGAAATCAATGCACCCCTTCACTTGTTGTAATAGTCAAATGGAATGTAGTAATATAATTTAATTAAAAAAATGTTTTGTTTTCAGCCAAATTTAGTAACACCATCAAAATGTGTTGATGATAAAAGCTTAAAACTCTGGCAAATCGGTAGATTCCCCTGATCTGATGAACAAATCATACCAAAAATCCATTCCACCATCATCAACTTTATCTAAGGAGTTTGAACTATAACCATAACCCTCTTGGTTTTGGAAATTTTGCAATGAATTGTTAAAATGGTATTGTTGATTTGGTAATTCAGTATTTGATGGCATGATGGAACTAATTTCATCATCAGTTTTTGTTTCTGACCAAAAGCTTTCATCAATTTCAAGCATTGTCACAAGTGAGTCTTCAGGATCTTCACAATTTATGACATTCTCAATATCTTTTCCTTGCGACAAAAAATCACTAGAAAAAGTGGAGTTTGATGATTGAGTTAAAGTGCTTGAATTGGAATCAGATCTTTTGATTTTTGGTTTTGATGATTTTTTTCTGGTACTTGAATTCTCTTGGTTATTATTGGTTTTCAATAGCCTCTTCTTCAAATGTGTGTGCCACACATTTTTTATTTCATTGTCTGTTCTTCCAGGTAACTTTGCTGCTATTGCTGACCACCTAAAAATCAAATAATTTGACTAAGAAATTTGCTACTAGGTTAATATAATTCAGAAAACAACAAATTTTGATGCATACCTGTTCCCAAGCAAGTGATGCATCTGAATGATGATTTGTTCTTCTTCATTTGTAAAGTTTCCTCTCTTAATATCCGGTCTTAAATAATTAATCCATCTCAATCTACAACTCTTACCACATCTTAATAAACCTGCAAATTTTTCAACAAAAACTAAATCAACACAGAAAAGGAAGTACAATATATGTAAATAATGATCAAGTTGAGAGATTAAGAAACATATATACCTGCATGTTTTGGAAGTGCACGCCAATTGCTATGTCCATATTTTTGGATGTATAATGTGAGGATTTCATCTTCTTCTAAGCTCCATGGACCCTTTTTCAATCCTTTCTTTTCACAACATGGTGATCTAGCCATCATCTAATTATTTGATACAAGATTCTTGTGCACTCACTAGCTAGTGAAGTTAAGTTAACTCTCTTGTGCTCTTTGAACACGAGTGTTCATCTTTGTTTCTCAAGCCCATATATATATACACACACACTTGGATATATATTCTGCACACCAGTATTCAAGATTGGCATATTAAGACAGCTTCCTAGAAATAATGTATGTGTTATTCTATGGAAAGTGTTTAATTTAATTATTTAAAGTGGAATTTGGAGTTGAGGATTTTTTTATACGTCAGAAAACGGGTTTGAACATTCTCATATACGTTAAAAATAAAAACAAAAAACATTCTAAAATAGACAGCATTTAGGATAAGAAAAGAAAAGAACATGGTATGTCATCCATCATCACATGTCACAGTTTTTGTGCGGGTTCGGCTGTGTCTTTATGTGTATTAAAAGTCTAAAACGGTGGGAAAAGGTTCTCATTTTTATAAATAAATAAAATTTCATAAATATTTTTAAGTTTAATTTACACTTTTATTTTTAAATAATTGATAATGCGTCATGCATTTTACTTAGGAGAGAAAGATAGAATATGAAAATAAAAATTTTATTATTGAATTAAATTGTTATAAACTAACTTATAAATTAATCAGTCTATTTATATACAATTAACTTATACACTAAATAGATTAACAAGTCCTAATTAAGTTTTTGTTTGGATTATACAGTTTGAATTATATCTAATATTTCAACGCACTCTATATAATCAAAGTTGTCGAACCTATGTTAGTCATAGTCGATCTGAATTATTCATAATTTCTTTCTCAAATTCAGAAATTTGTCGATCTTCAATCCTTTGGTGAAAATGTCAGTCAACTGTGCTTCACCTGAGTAATGTCTTACTTCAAGTTCACCTCGATTTATCTTTTCTCTTAGGAAGTGAAATCTAGCTTCAATATGCGTACTCCTTCCATGCAAAACTGCATTCTTTGTAAGATTAATGATTGACTTGTGTCGATCTGCAACACTCACTAGTGCAGAAATGACTTTTTTACATCGGGCGAAACTGACTTTTTACATCGATTTTGGGTCCGATGTAAAATCAGACGATATAGTAAATCAGAGACTTTTTACATCGGTTTTGGGTCCGATGTAAAAAAGGCAGTTAACACATCGGTTATAAGTTAAGCCTGATTTAAAAAATAATTATAACATTATTTTAAAAAAATTGACGCAACATTTTACATCGGGCGAACGAGTGGACTGATGTAAAATATTCCATTTTTACATCGATTGTGCTTAATGCCCGATGTAATAGATATAGTGTTGATTGTTTTTACATCGGTTGGAAGTAATGACCGATGTAAAATATAAGCAATTTTTTTGAATAAATTATTTATTTTCTGGATGATTCCCTGTAAAAAAAAATTGGTACCCATTTTTTCATATTTTTTCAATATCAGACAGACTAAATTTAGGTCGTTATATATATGTCATAGCTTTCCAACATCACATAGACCACATCTAGGTCGATATTTTCATATTTTTCACAACAAACTTATAAAATGAACAATTGTATTGCAAACTTGAATTGTATTACAACAAACAAACTCACAACAAGCTTACAAATATATATTATTCACAAAACATACAAAAATATTCAACTATTTATAAGTCTTTTTCCAAACTTGAATTACCAATATAAAATCCACAAGTAGATGAGTTATAGCTTCGGTAGACAACACAAAAATCACATTGCCTGACAATAAATAATAACAATTAACATCAGCAAAAAATATCAAGAAACTCAATACATGTGCAAAAATCACATGTAATGTGCAAAAACTCAATAACAATTATGTGCAAAAACCATAACTTAGACAATTCTATAAAACTCACCAGATAAAGCTTAATTTTTATATAACTCAAAGAAACATTTTGCCCAACAGAGTCGCAAATCATACAAATCATCTTGTGTTAATTTTGTCGAGTCATCAAATACCTATAATACATAAATATAACAATATAGAGTTATTTTTTAAAAATTCATATTAAGTTGCAAAACAAAAAGTAAATAACAACGTAAAGTTATTTTTATTACCTGCATCCAATTCTCGGTTATATTGGCAGAGACAATATCCAACATATTTTTCATCACATAGTACCCATAATCATTAGAATTATGTTGTTGCCTTGTCTACAATTGAATGACATAATTAGTGAATATTTATCATAAATTTAACTATAGAATTACAATTTACATCACACTTACATTGGGATGAAGCCATGTAGCCTTTTTTCTATTTCCATTTTCCATTTGATGAATCCCAAAAGAACTAATACAGAAAGATAAACATCACATAACTAAATTTACTCGCCAATGAAAAATCACATAAATATTAATTGCCAATGAAAGTCACATGAAAGATAAACTTACTTTGTAATAATTTTCTTCGTGTTTTGGTCAATTTCCCGATGAAGTGAACAAAATACGACAACTAGATTGTCTCTTGGACACATGACTATTAATTGTCAATGTCTCATGTACGTGTGTGTGGAAACAGAAAAGTCACATAAAATATATATGTTATCAAAATTAAATAATATAAAACACAATTTCATAAAAATGCTTACCCATAAATTAATGGTAGTAAGTGGCACACTCTGTTTTCATCACGTAACTTTTCTAGTACGTAATTTTTAACATATCCTCTTGAGATTTCGCTCTATTATCATTATAAATACACCTAGCAAGGTCCATAAATCCATATAATTCTGAAATGGAATTCTCAAGACATACACGATGAATATACCTGAATAATTTTAAAATAAACATTAGAATCAAAGTGATGAGAGATATAATATATTAATAGATATTGACTTTAATAAAATAATAAAATATACTTACGTGTACCAAATTTGCAGAATAGACACGTCAAGCCAATGACCTAAACCCACCAATAACTCTCTAATACACTTAGCTGAAATATAAAAATTAGAAACACTCACACAATGACTTAATTGTATTTCCAAATGGTTGTCATCCATTTTCAAAACCATGAGTAACAATCTCTGAACATCATCAACTTCCACGTCTTTTGTGCTTCCTTTTGTGCTTCCTTTTGCAGCTGAACAACTTCCTTTTCCGCTTCCATCGATAATTTCCATTTTTTTCAATGCATTTAATATTATATGTGCTTTATGATAAACCCATAGACTTAAGTGTCTCCATTAATGATTGTTGAAACATCTTACGCTCTTCAACCAACTTTTCTTCAAGTTCAGCTCTAAGTTTTGTTTCCAATGTTGCAAGTTGTTCATTTACGTCAATATGTTGATGTGACCTTCCAAAGTAAGTGCTTTGTTTATGGTGTTTTCCAACACCACGAACACGACCTCCATGCTCAGATGTTCCAATGGCTAATGTTAAGATATCGTTACGTCCAACCAGAACAGTTGCACCTTTTTCAGCTTCTTGAACTAGAGAATCCTACAAAATTCAAAAACCACATAATCAATCACAAATATAATGATACTTGAAGTATTTTTCATTGTTTACTTACAATTTTTTCAGCAACCTCTTGTGTAGATTTTGATGTGTATTCTCCTCCTTTCTTTTTTCGTGCTCTCTTCCATAACTCATGGCGTGATGGTGGAGATGGACTACCATTATCATCTAATGTGGAATTATCTCTCGATGATGACTTTTCTTTCATAATTTTCTCCTCAAGCAAGCGATACCCTCCGCGAGACAATAAGTGTGGGTATACATTCTTAGCCACATTATCCTTACCCTTTTGACTTTTTTCCTATTATAAACTCAAAAAGTTATTAATCACTAAATATAATAAAAATGTTATGCACACAAAAACATATAACTCCTACTAACTTTAAATTCAGGGGTATCTCGAATCTTGAGAAACTCTTTCCATGCGTCTTCTGTAATAAAGTTATACCTGACATATGGAGGAGGATCATTTTCTATGGGATGGTGAATATATCTGTCTGTGAGTTGTGTCTTAAAACCTCTCCATCGCTCTCCCGCATATTTAATCCATTATTTCTTCAAACTATCCTTCTTTGGATCATTACATTCTGGAATAGTGAAATGAGCCTACAAATATAGTATATGTGATATGTTGTTAATTAGTATATGATTATAAAATATAATAAAGTGTTGTATTTAAAATACCTGAATATCAGTACAAATAGCATCTTTTACGCCTTCATCTACTTCTTTCCAATCATTTTTCACAATACTACAGTACTGCCGAGCAAGACATGCTATATAACTCTTAAAATGTGTAGCATTTTTACCAACACCAATACATTCATAGGTTCTTGGATTAAACTTGACCTTTATCTTTTCTCCTGTTTTATGAACTTTGTCAATTTGTGTCATGAAAGTGGGACCTCTAACTCTTCTTTTATTGGGGTTACTAGATGAAGAAGGGTTGTAATTTGAATGACCCATGTATCTATTTACATAAAATAAAAATAATTAGAAATAAAATTAAGCACAAAATAAAAACAATTAGAAATAAAATTAAGCACAAAATAAAAACAATTAGAAAATAAAGTAACGTGGAATTAACTTATAAAAAAAATCTTACTAGTCCTCCCATATCCCTTCTTCATGATCTATGCGAATAGAATGCACATATCCCCTTCATTTTCTTCAATGAATGTAGTCACATTTGTTGACAAAGGACGAGTTTCGGAAATATCAAGATTCTCATCATGATTTTAATCACCATCATGGACCTTTCCTTGTAAAACCACTGACCACTTTTTATTAGAAGGATCTGTGACATAAAACACTTGTTTTTCTTAAGATTCCATGATGAAAGGTTCATTCGCATAAGCTAACTTGCTAAGATCAGCCAGTGTAACTCTAAATTCATCGTTTCTTACACCACTATTGATATCAATCCATTTGCATTTAAACACAACATAATTAACTTCCCAAATCTCTTCAATCACCCAAAAGTACGGTGAGATGCCATAACCAGGTTTTTATCT